TACATACACACACACATATATACACACACACACACACACACACACACACACACATATATATATATATGTATACATACATACATACATATACATATCAACAATGTTTGTATATCTACACTAATCTAAATTGACGAGCACGATATCTCCCTGTGCGAGTGCTTCTGACTATCCTCCCATACCTGGCTATGGTTGACAGTACTCTTATACGCCATTCGATCCAGAAAGTGGAATATGCCGGTAGCGTCCTTCTCCTCGAACCTTGTACCCGCCTCCATAGACACCCCCACGACCGCAAAGGCTCCCGGTGAGTCTTCACTAGCCACGGCTAACCCATTGTCTAACTGTGTAATCTGGGTGGTTGGGGGTCTGCTGAGATCAACCACAGCATACTTGGGATTCTCGAACCCCCTCAACGGCTTGCTCAGAGACACTTTCTCTGGCTCGCCAGACACACTCTCGACTGTGCGATCGGATGTGAACAAGGTGCTTAGGGTACGTTTGAATGGGCTGAGTAGTGCAGGTGATGAACTGATTGTGTGTCTACTGTGATGTGTATGGGGACGTGCGATTGCTGAGGCGAGTGCGTGGCATTGCACTGCCAGCGGCTGCAGTATACGACTGCGAAGGGCTGAGGACATCTCGGCGGTAGGCTGTGAGGGTGTCTAGATGCGTGCGGTTTAATCGGACGAGATAAACGAATGCGATAAGAGCTCACACGTATATTGTTGTGGTTGTGTATGTACACTTTCTTCGTAAGTGATATGCAGACTTGTCTACAGAGACACAAGCCAACCTGTACTACTTGCTTGCCTATTATTGAATCGTATATTTAAGCTATACAATCACTTACACGCCCTTCGTTTAATATGTGTACCGTCTAATATTCAAATCATAGCCTCCTATTGAACAAATAAATATAAAAAAGCAATGTGGGCAGCACGTCCACGCGATCGTATTTGCCGAGACATGCATACATTATTTATTTACATAAATACATCAATACGTTTTGCATTGAAACGTATCAGCTCTGAAAAAAATATACGGCTACGATAAACGTTTATATTGGGACGGCGCTATTGGCCTGAATATAAGTTCCACTTATAAAGGATTGAGTTATTTGAGTACAGTACTGAGTCATACAACTCTGAAGTAGGGTATTCTATTTTTAGAATTGATTACACCAAATATATTCACAATGGCTTTCCGGCTGCGCCATGTGAAATCTCAAATATCAAATCTGGTGGGGTCTATTATTATTTTGAAAAAAAAAGTATTTTTATAGGCTATTTGGGGCCGGCAAATTGTCCTAGTTTTCTGGAAATTAATACAGTGCTCATGGATTCATGTGTGGCTGCTATGTCTGAGATATTTATTACGATGTACACATATTGATGTGTGATATATCTAAGTACACATAGTAATGTGTGATATATTTACACATAAATACAGATGTATTTATCGTATGTATAGTTGGGGTACGTATTTGTTTGTGTAACTATACATTGCGTGTAAACAGCAACAAGGTCCACACAACTACGATATACATACACTCACAAGAACGCTTGATCCTTACACCCACACAAACAACACCATGTCGGACTGTATCATGAAACGATCGGGTTCGATCGAAGACGAGGCGGCTACAAAACGTGCAAAGGTCGAAGATACAGCAGATACAACTTCAACGCAAGATAAACAAGCTGTAGACACAAACACGACACTAGACACGAAAGATATAAGCGACCAGTCTAGTCGTGCTGCGACAACGGATAAGGATACTAGCTTAGAGACGCCGCAGATTGCGAGTGACAGTGTTATTGTAGACGGTGTAGAAGGTGGGATCTCTACCGAGCACACGGATGAGACGCCGTACGAGGGCAAGTACTTCCGAGACATCCGCAAGGAATCACACATGAGTGAGGCTATGGCTGGTATTGAAGCCTTCACCACACCCGGCACTCCATTCCACTGTATACTGAAGCACAGATACTCTGATTTCGTAGTGAATGAGATTGATCCTGATGGCAATGTCGTCCACTTGACGTCGTTAGAGTGCCACTTGGATTTGGAAGAGCAAGACAAAGCGCAGGAAAAACAACAGGAAGACGTGAAGATAGCTGAGCAACCGGCTGATGCAGACTTCTTCGACACGCTAAGTGGGGTGCTGGATGCCGGTTGGATAACGAAGGTGTGCGGGGGGTGTTGTAAGGGTACTTGTCACAGTGTGTTTGTTGCTCAGGCACTGTGTACTCATTATATGCGAACTGCATCTTTGCAAGCAGCACACATGCACTGGCTGGTGGGGCATGTTAAAAGCAACGCACAACTATCAGCGTATACTTGCCATGCATGCAACCATCAGATAAACGTTGGCCGTATAGATAACTGTGACGGGCTCATACCCACGCCAGAACTACCTATTGCAGACCAACGATTGCAGTCTAATATGTGTCTCAGATTAAATACACATACATGGGTGATATAATATATATATATATAGATATACCGTATATATATATATATATATATACATATATATATATATATATATATATATATATATATATATATATATATATATATATATATATATATATATATATATATATATATATATATATATATATATATATATACAATACATGTATATATATATATATATATATATGCGCACATACATAATATATGTCTATTTTATGTATGCACCTATTGGGTGAGTGTACTGTCGCATGTGTATATGGAAAAGGTCTACATACACGCCACAACCTCCTTGAGCCAGCCACCACACCCCCGGTTGTGTGATCGTAGTGCCAATTCCATCCCACGTAACACCACAGAAATCAAAGCCAATTTTCAGACCAAATCTCACGACAATTCGGAAATCAGGTCAAAGAGTACCTGACCAACAGTCTCAACGAGGACGACATTCCCAATAAAGAAGCACTCCGCATCAACACAGAAGACTCGAGCGCAGCCGAGTTTGGCGCTCGCGCATTGGTATTTCCATATGAGGACTCAAAGGACAAACGCACACGGCTGCACCAGTTTGTGAAGACACACTTTGCCACCACACACCGCACAGACACCGTCGCCAATGCAGACAAGAAAACCTGTGTGAGGTGTGTTTGTGTTTGTGTGGAGTGTGTGCTTGCGTGGTGATATATATATATAAATATATATATATAAATATGTGTGTGTGTATTTGTGCGCATATCATGTATCTGCTTAGTTGGCGCGGCATATGACTATTCAAGCGTCCGCACCTACAAGTGCCTTATATAGATGAATACTGAGTCTCTGTTCATGGTATTGTCCTGTTCGGTCCTGTCAGTTTTGTACCGTAGCCCGCCTTCACACGGTTATGCATGAATGGGTCACTGTCAAAGAGCAAGTCATTACACTCACATATGCAAATACGTATAAAACCAGTGATATTGAACTGACTTATATTCGTATTAGGTCCGCTTATGTATATGCATACAGAAACCATATACAAGTAGTTGGATAAACGTATACCTTTGCTATATATGTATCATGCGTACGGCAATGCAGGCGTAGGTGAATTATGCTATACAGAGGGTGCAGGTTTATCGATTAAGTCGCATCTCTGCATACATGTGCTCATACCAGTGCATATACTCATACCATGCTTATCCCAGTACATATACTCATACCATGCTTGTACCAGTACATATACTCATACCATGCTTATACCAGTACATATACTCATACCATGCGTAAGCCAGTACATGTACTCATTCCGTCCACATCATGTCATACCCATATACCTACACATTCGACTCGGTCGCAGAATAGTCAAGGGACGAAACCAGGACAAAAGGCGGCCCAGAAAAACCGAGAACAAGTTCCTCGAGTTTGTGCTGTACAAAGAAGCACGTGACACCATGTCGTCTGTCAGCATCATCGGCAAGACCCTCAACGCTCGCCCTCACATCTTCTCGTACGCGGGTGTGAAGGACAAGCGTGCTATAACCACTCAGCGCATGCGCATTAAGGGCCGAGAGGCCCAGAACACGTTCCGCGCCAACTCCCGGCTGACGGTAAGCAGAGCACAACGCATGCCTATGGGTATGGGGTACGTCCGGAGGAATATGTGGGGATGGGTTTGGGATTGTTTATATATATATATATATATATATACGTTTATGTATTTCTGATGTTGTGTACGAAACGTGTGCTTCTCCTTTTAACGCATAGGGGATGTTCCTGGGCAATATGAAGTATGCCGATACACCGCTGGGTTTGGGTGATCTGCAAGGCAATCGCTTCACAGTGGTACTGCGAGAGCTAAGTGGCATAGAAGACGAGGACATCACTACTAGAATTGAAGACCATCAAGACAAAAGGTAATGATTTATTATATGTACATGCGACTTATATATATATATATATATATATATAATACGTATTATATATATATACATGTACTTACAGACACGTATATATGAGATGTGTTGTTGTATCCCCCTGTCAAGGTAGCTTTGAGTATACTTGCTGTATTCTGTAGAAATATGCTACTACTATTTTCTGTATATTGAGGTTATTGAGAGCATATGCAATGGTGAATATATTCTGTTCTAACGGCAGACTCTGTCTCCAAGGTTTGGTGTTCGTTGTAGTTTGTTCGCTTGGTGTTCGTTGTAGTTTATTCGCTTGGTGTTCGCTGTAGTTTATTCGCTTGGTGTTCGTTCTAGTTTATTCGCATGTGTTCGTCACAAGTCTTTGCTGGGCGCTACAATTGTGGTGCTGAAAGACTTTGCACCCAGAGCCATATGAATAGGCGAACAAGTTTAATTTAAAACAAGAAGTTCGTCATTCCAAAAGTTGATGACTAATTTTACACCGAGCCCATACCTGCAAATCGGTAATTCTGAATCGGTATGCTTTCCAAAACCAAACCCACGCAAATTAGGGCTTTCTGAATTATTTTGGGCTCCAACGTTTCGGGTCACGGTGCCCCACGCATCACATTGGAATGGCTGTCCTAAAAAACGAGTGGGAGAAGGCCATTAAACTGGTGCTCAGCAGTCTGAGTGAGGAAGATCAGGTCAAATGCCAGGTATGGGTAACACAACCGTGTGTGCGGTAGTGGGACGAGAAGTGGCTCATGTCACACTTGTGTATATGTCTTGTACTTTGGTCCGTAGTTGTTGATGTATTATACATGCATGCATAGTCCATTTACTGTACCACATGGCATTGCTATCAATTGTGAAGTCACAATGGGCATACCGAGCGAGTGTCCCTGTACATCTGTTTGACGCTACAGAGGCATTGGTCCGTAGTTGATGATGTAATATACATGCATGCATAGTTCATTTACTACTACATGACATTGCTATCAATTGTGAAGTCACAATGGGCCTACCGAGCGAGTGTCCCTGTACATCTGTTTGATCTTTAGTAGTATCGAGCTCGTAGTGTACGGGTTGGGCGTGCAAATGGGTATGTATACGATATATGGAAGGCAACACGCAAAACATATGTCATCATAGTGCCTTTGTCTATTCGGTTCGTTCCGTGAATCGGAACCATCACTCCGTAAACAAATACTTCGGGACAGTTTCAATTCCAATTCCAATCCCATTTCTATTTCCATTTCCAATTCTCAAATTTGAATTCCAATTCGGATTCAAAAGCCGGAATACTCACATCTGGACCTTTCTGGTAAACCCAGGTGCACCTCTTCCTCCACACCTCGATATACGTCGAGCCATCTCTTGTGTTTGGCCCTAAAATAACGGATTGAACTTTTTAGCTTACCCAAGTATTAACAAACACTAGACCAGCCTGTCAATCCGTTTTACTGCTCTGCTTCTCTCACGGAAGGGGGCCTTGAGCTTACTTCTGTATTGACAGCCGTTCGTTTGTTTTGTTAATCCGTTGTAGTGCACCTCCTTGCCTCACTGCAGAATCATCTCAGGCACAGCCCAAAGGACTTCCGCGGGGCGGCCGATCGCCTGGGCTTCCGCTGTCACATTGAGAAGAATCTGTTGAACTGTTTGCACAAGTACCACGGAGACCCTAAACAGGCCTTCCAGGTAAGGGTGTGTGTGGTTTAGGGTTTTTAGGTTATTGAGAAGAATCTGCTGAACTGTTTGCATAAGTATCACGGAGACCCTAAACAGGCCTTCCAGGTAAGGGTGTTTGTGTGTGTGTGGGGGAGGGGGGGATGTGTGTGTCCAGGCGTACTTGTACGAAATGATCACACACGTGTATTTGTAATATACAGTCACACACGTGTATTTGTAATATACAATCACACACGGGTACTTAGTCTGTGTATATATCGACATGTATGTGTGTGTGTGTAGGTGCTGGCATGCCTGCACGTGCGCGCTTAAGGCTGAAACATGTGCGTCTGTGCAGTATCTGTTGCTGATCCGGGGTATGTATTCTGCTACATGATTTTATCAATTGATTGGACTACAAAAAACCTGGGCGTATTCTGTCGCATATATATACCTACATATATATATATATATATATATATATATATATATATATATATATATATATATATATATATATATATATATATATATATATATATATATATATATATATATATATATATATATATATAT